CCTGCAGGACTTTAAGTAGCACTGATTTCAATAACTGAAAGTTAGGTGGCGCCTTTCTCATCAGACAGTTCCAGGTTTAATGTTTTAACTCACCTAACTTGACTTTAAGAGTGAATTGGGCACATACATCTGCTGGTTGTGGACTCTTTTTCTGTCTCGGTTAGTCCCCCAGCCTACATCCTTCTGCCCTGCCCTGTCTCCTCACCTACCTGGTGCAAGGCTGCAGGGCTCAGCGTGGAGCCTGCGTCCTCCCGAATCCCGATGCACCACTGCCGCCACACGAGTGCTCGGCGGGGTGTGGGGCAGGGACCACTTCTCGCTTGGACTTGCCAGGCCCTGTGGTTTCCAGGTGCTCAGTCCCACGCTCGTCTCTGTGGCTCCTTCAAGACACCACGTGTTCTGATGAAGAGCTGGCTGGACTGTCGAGTCCTCACCCTAGTGCTGATCGCAGGGTTCTTTGAAGGCAGTTTTGTAACAAACAGGCTCACGCCTTCTGTTTGGAGTCGCCATGGAAACGTTAGAAGCTGTCTTTCTAAAGCCAAGCAGACAATAAAGCACTTCGAGTGTTAAGGATTAGAGGCTCTAGAAGATGTTTAATTTTCTCCCCCACTCTTGCTTGCTTTCTGTCTCCGTAGAGAGGGAACAAGAGGGTGATGTGAATATTAACCGGGGCACGCTTTCATCTCCCTGTGACCCTCGAGGCTCGGCCTTTCCTGCGCTAACGAGGGGAGTCGTGCGTGCATATTCATAAGCCGGGCTTGGGCATCAGACACAGCTCACGGCGGAGAGGGTGGGGGTGCGGCTTTCCGTGCTTCTCTTTTCGACGCAAACGTTATGAAAGCAACGACTATTAAAATTTGGTTTTTTAATTATTATTAAGTCGGAGACCCTAGACAGTAGTGCCAAAATGTTCCCACTGGAAATAGGGACAAATTAGAGGACCTTTGTGTGGTATTTAATTTATAGGCGGACAGTACAAACCCCAAAATGCTGTGCTTGCTTAGGGTAGAGATGTAGCGCACACCTTTCGTATCTGCCCAAGAAGAGCGTGAAGCGGCACGTCGTGAAATCCTCCTTAAAGAGGAAATAAGATCAGTTTCACTTACAAAGAATATGAACTATATACATTTAAGTGAAAGTGTTGGGGGTTGCACTGTTGTTCTTGTGTTATCTCTGATATTCAAGGTTCTGGAAGGGCATTGACCCCACCGTGGCTGTATGGCCTTCCTCCCCCCGACCCCTCCCATGCCCTCCATTTAACGTCTTTTGCCCTTTGAATACCGGTTTCGGAAGAAGACTAGATTGCCTTTGCTGCCTTGGACTCCAGTGCTACTTCCGCTGGGTTGTTGGTATGGTGGCTGTACCAGGAGCCCGATCCTTGGGAGACGTGACGGTCACGTCCGTTCCTGAAGCCGTGCGGCCCAGCAGGTCTGTCCATCAGGAAAATCGTCATTAATCTCATCCTCTTCCGTGCTCCTTTTTCCTGCACATAAAACGGGGATCGTGTAAGTTTTTCTACAGAAATGAGATACTAAACTCTTCTTAGAACACCGTTATGGGACTTCCACAAAATGTGCTAGTTACCCCCGCGGGTGAACATGATTGAAATCCACCCTTGCATCTGTCCACATGGGAATTCTCCTGTGTTTTGTTGTCATGGACCTCTTATTTACACGGTCCAGCTTCCTTGCCCAGGTTGCATTTACTTTCACCTAGTCTCTCAACCCTGCAAAGCCCTGAGTCAGGAAACCACACCAAGGACTGCTGCAGAAGGAAAAGCACAGCCTGTGTGGGTCACTACAGTGCCACGATGCCTTCCTGCGCACGCGCACACAAACGCACACACACACACACATGCACACACACAGTGAGTGGGAGATAGCGTTTGCTCACTTGGACATCAGGCAAACATTTCCCAGCACCGTTCTTGGAACGGAGGACAGAAGGGTAAATAAGACGTCAGACTTGCTTATGAGGAGTTCACAGGGTGTTCAGGCGGACAGAGATATAAACAGATAATCATAGCTCACATGACGTCAACAAACACATTGAGAAACCACTCTGTGTCAGGACCGAGCTGTGTGCTGGGGATCTAGAGGTGGATTCTGTGTGGCTCCTGGCCTTGAGAAGCTCATAGACACCTAAGCAGGTAAGTAAGTGCAATGGGATGAGAACTAGTTAAAAAAAAAAAAAGGGGGGGGGGGGGGGGGGGAGGTGTTTTGGAAATACAGAGCAGGCGCGCCTAGCTTATGCTGGTGACGAGGGGGGGGCTGGGGCAGAGAGGGTGGGCTTCCAGGAGCGTGAGCTCGGCTGTGCGCCCTGTGGGGAAGGGGCAGGTGAGGGGAGGCGTGTCCCAGGCAGGGCCTCATGTGTGGACAGACAGGTGGGGCCTGGCGAGGTGATGTTGACAGAGCCTGGGGTGTGAAGGGCACCTGGCACAGAGGGATGCGGGGGACCCTCTGCAGGGGTCTTATTTGCCCTGTAACTGAAACCATTTGACAGTTCGAGCTCTGCATGGTGGTTCCTTCCCCCAGAGACACTCGGCATTGGCAACTGGCAGTGACAAGGCTGGCATCACATTCCTCGATTACAGAGCCAATCAACCCTCCAGTTTTGAGGTGCTTGCGATGCATTTCTGGGAATTTCCCTTTTCTTTCAATTATATTTAAGCTTCCTGGTCAGGAAGCTTCAGGAAGCAGCTTTTTGCATCTGTCGTTTAGCGTTAGAGAGTTATACCTATGAACTAGAATTCTCTAGGCTTGCCTAAATTTACCCTCAGATGTTCGCTTCGCCAGTCGGTTCTCATGATCACTGTCTCCCCCTTTTCCTACAACAAGTGAGGAAATGGATTTGAGTAATGATGTCGTCGTCCTGCATGAGAAATCAATTGTAGCAAATGATTCATTGTTGAGAAATTTACTGATGTGTTGGAAGTTTCTGTCGCCCGGGATCATTATTTTTATTCTCTATCCTGTCACAAAGTGGGGGTTTGGTGATGTGGCAAAGAAGGAGAAACGCAGATTTAGGTGTTTTTTTTTTTTTGAGGTACGCGGGCCTCTCACTGCCGTGGCCTCTCCCGTTGCGGGGCACAGGCTCCGGACGCGCAGGCTCAGCGGCCATGGCTCACAGGCCCAGCCGCTCCGCGGCACGTGGGCTCTTCCCGGACCGGGGCACGAACCCGTGTCCCCTGCATCGGCAGGCGGACTCTCAACCACTGTGCCACCAGGGAAGCCCAGATTTAGGTTTTACGTGTTGTGAGTACTTGTGTGGATTCATCTCCAGGAAAGGAGTACCGTCTTCTAAAGGACCTGGGCTTTATCATGAGAGGATGACAGGCAATGGCGAGATGAGAAGACTTTCCCCACCAAAGGGGGCCGGCTAACTATAGAATCACATCAGCCGGGCACCGGCAATTCCCATTCTTTGCCCTTTGGAACACGTTAGCCATTTATACCCCCGAGTGGTTTTGATGATAAGCCTCTTAAGACCAGTGGGTCATTTACTCCACAGCGTTTGCTGGTCCTCTTCCTCATGCAGCCCCGTGGCCCGTCCTGGAGGAGCTGGGGAGGCGGGCCGGCCGGCAGCTGGTTCCTGTGTGAGGTCCCAGTGTGATCCGGACTGCGGGCCAGTGTGGGCTGTGTTGGAGGGACTGACAGGGAGCAACCACAAAATGCTTCCTGAACACGAAACTGGTGCATTTCCTGTGTTTCATTTGCCTAACTTTAGTCTCAGGTTCACTTTTTAGTTTCCTTTGAGGTTATTGCACTAGGGAAACAGTTTGATACACTTTCTTTGTGCGTATGGCAGCCTTTCTCTGTGGCTTCCTGTGTCCAGACGAGGAGCCAGAAGCGTCTCGGCCCCAGCCTCACCGCCGTGCTGGGACGCGGGACGAGATCAGGAGTGCGACTCTTCCAGCTGAAGGACCCGCCTCTCATACCTTTTGGGGGCACAGAGTCCCAGTTCTGGCATCAGAAATGCCTGCATGGGAAACGTCTGGTAATAAGGAGAAAGGGCTTTTTTCCTGCTACCTTCCATCTGATCTTGGGCAGGGGGGCCTCTTTTCATTGGAAAAAGTGTCTGTTCCACGCTTGGCACTTTGTTTCTTCCGAACCAACAGAGGGTGCCAGGCCCACTGTTCTTGGTATCTCTCTGTGTCCCTGGATCCAAGACTACAGCAGTTTTTATACAGCCTTTAGAGAAGGACATCTAGCCGCAACTTAATGCCTTTGTGAGGTTTACACAGCTCTTGGTAACTAAATCAAAGACTTCAGAAAACAGTGCAGTGATTCTATATTCTTCGTAAGGTGTCTTCTGTCTGCTGTGAAAGACGCTGCGCACAACATTTAAAATTAGGGCCAGGGCACAGTAAGGCACAAGGATGAGATGCTTTCTCAAGGGCACAAGGATTCAGACTGAACAGTAAATCCTTCAAAGTCTTCCTTCATCTTTAAAATATGGAATGAGGGAAATTCCATGGTGACTCCCAGCAAACAATTCTTATCTGTAACTGGGCTTACTTTAAACAAGATGGTTTTCTTGTCTGATTCCAGCCTGGCATCTTCATGCCTCATCCTGTAGCGCTCTTATTCCTTGCCTGCTGACTCAGTAACATAATCATCCAGCGTACGTGTGTGTGCGCGCGTGCATGTGCAGTCCTACACACAGGCTTGTGTTCACATACCTCAGGTGTGACTGCCCTAAGCCTTTGCTTCCTCGTTCGTTCATTCAGTTCAGTATCTCTGTGGGCCGGTTGCTGGACATCTCACACACACACACACACACACACACACACACACACATTGGACATACATGTGTATATGCGTGTCTTATAACTTTAATTATTTCTCGCTTTGCATGCGTATTCATAGCACATCCTTAAGAAAAATGTGTTGATTCTGGGCTTTTAGGGTTGCTTGCTCCTCTCCTCCTTTTCCAGTAATGCTCGTGGGAAGTTCTAAAACAGGAAAGTACATTGGCAGATTCCTTCACTCTGGTTCCAGTTCTAACCCAGTGGGTGGTGCTCGCCATCCGAAACCTCACGGAGGACAATAGCCAAAACCAAGATTTGATTGCAAAGATGGAGGAGCAGGGCCTGGCAGACGCGTCCCTACTTAAAAAAGTGGGTTTTGAAGTTGAGAAGAGGGGTGACAAGCTGATTCTGAAGTCTACTAGTGACACACCTCAGCTGGTAAGTATGCCAGAAGGAGTGGTAATTCCCTTTCAGTTTGTAGAAAGTGGCCCCCGCTTCCCCATCACCTTGGGCGTGACACAGTTCCTTCATAAGAACATGGATGGGAGTAATTTTGCCTTCTAAGATGGCAAAGAAAGCCCTAAATTTAATTGCAAGTAATTTTTCATTCAGGCTTTATGCTGCCATTTTAAGAGAGTTGAAATTTCAAACTCGTTCTAGGGGAAAAATAGAAAATGGTATCGAAATTTTCACGTGGTCTAAAAGTTTTTGGCAGTAATTAGACTTTCTTTAAAAGATAGCTAATGCTCAGCAATGGAAAGAACAGAAAACTCCTTGTATGATATTGAATGAGTTGTTTCAGGTTTCTTTCCATTACTTCTATCGTTGACCAAAATTCTCTGTTTTTTCATTTGACTGTTCTTGTAAATAGCTCTGTTACATCTGCAGTTTTGTTTCTTTTTTCTTCTTAGTGAATGAACTCTCCATCCAAAACTCTGAATTTTTGGAATCTGTTTCATGGATTTGTCATCTTCCGCAGTATGTGAACTTGCGAGTGTTTGAAGATTTATTAAGTACAAATTCAAGAACCTGTGAATCTTTTAGACAATAGAGTTAAATGCGTATAAGCTTAAAAGTGAAAGTACATGAGTATTCTGTGGTTTCTTTGCTTTAAAAATGTAATTGTCTGGTTTGCTTTTGTCCCCGTGGATACAATGTGCGTTTAAGTGATATATTGTACTTACTGTGGCCGCAGATAATAAATTCCTCTTGTTGAGCGCATGTCCCTTCCTTGGCAAAGGCTTGGAAGTTTGCTCGGGTCCGCTTGCTCCTCGGCGGGTCGGCCTCCTTCCCTTCATTGTCTCTTCCCGTGGGGTTTTCTGGGCTGTGGCAGGCAGTTGAAGTAGTTTCTCACTGTGATTAATTCTAGCAATCTCTTTTCACCCCTTCTGCCTTTCCAAAACATTGACAAGACTCATTTCCAGTTAATTAATTCAAGAGATGCTGAAGAATAGAGGGCTGTCCCTCTTCACTTTAGGTCCTGGGCTGTGTTGTCACTGAGCCCTGTCCCTTTGGAATGTGGCGGGAGTGAGCGGGTGAGGGAATGTGGGGGCCGTTAACTCTTCCCTTCCCAGATCACCCTAGACTTGGGCTTCTCCAGACCCGTGGCGTTTACCAGCCATGCCTGCATCTTACCCACTGTCAAGGCTGTAAGTGGGAAGGAATAGTTCATGGTCGTCTCTGTGTGCCGGGCCACAGTGTTAAACGCTCGTCCGTGTCTTCCTCAGTTTAAAAAGCACCAGTCTTGGAAAGGCACGCCACTCAGTTTTGGCCAGGGCTTCACTGGAATTGCGAGAGTAGCTTTGAAGAGGTGGGAGGTTAATTGACCTGTGTCTGTCTGTCTGTCTGTACCTCTCTCTGTATATACACACACTCAGAGGTAGAACTGGATTAAGTGAGCACTAAAATCTTTGTAACCACCCAGATCATTAATATAATCCACAAAAACTCTCATGGGAGGTCCTGTTGCAGACGCTTAAAACACGTTATCTTCTTGAGCAGCCATGTTACTAAACTAAAATATCTTGTGAGATTTTGCACAATTTCTGTTGAACCTTCCAAAATGAAAACAACAAACACCCAACCAGAAGTTCTACAGGAATACCGACTGTTCCAAAGTAAATGCTCCTAAGTTTTTGTAGCCATACTTAAATTGCTTTGTAAAAAACAGCTTTAAGCATGTTAAGAACAAAATAAAAGTTTTCCCATGTGCGATCTGATGCCCTCTATATAACTGAAGAAATACCAGCTTCTAGGACTGTGATAATCTATGAATAACATTTTTTTTCTCTCTCATTTGTGACATTCCGTCAGTAAAGAATCCTTTGCAAAATTCAAAATGCACGAAGAAGTCATTCTCTTCTGGGACACAAAGAGTTAAAACCTTATTCTCTAAATAGAAGTCTGGCCAAAGGGAAAAAGCAGCGGGGGTCCCTTTTTCCTTTTAACAAGTTTGCAATAGACACTTCTTTTTTTCCTCTCAATGGATGTATGCACACCAGTGGCATCACACAAACATGTCGGTATAAGCCATATAATAACAAACACAAATAAACAAAAGGGAGCCTGTGAGAGTACAGAACGGGGTGATGGTTATGTGTTTTCTAAATAGGAAATGTAGGGCTTGCACAGTGAAAACATGCCGATGGCTGCATTGTCGCAGCTTTTGATGCCTTTGGACAGATTAATTCCTGAGCACAACAGCTTCCCTGTCCTCTGCCAGCGGACTTAGAGCTTCTGAGAACCTTGTTTTACATGCTACAGAGGATTCAAGCACCACCTCAATCAGTCATTTAGAGGGAAAAAAAAGGCAGGCCAGCCTTACAGAATTTGTAAAGAGACGGAATGGTCACAGCAAGTTTTGTGACCGTATTCTTGCTTTCAAGAGCAGACTGACAAAGCAGTTCAATTTTTTAGGCTGCTTTATTCTAAAAGGTAGCAGAGAAAGGCTTTTCTGCTTGACATCGAGTTCAAGTATTTGCAGAATGATTTCTTTAATACCTTAATAGTGGGCGTTAATATTTCAAAAATATTTATTTTCACAGTTTTAGTAATAAACCATTAGAATTTGTCCACGTGTCCATATATATGAATACATCTCATGGGTATGGCTTTTTTGGAAGCTAATGCCAGATACATTTTTGTTCAGTAACTTCTGAAGCTAACCACCACGCTTTGGAAACTGCTGAAAGATGTCCATTTTGCAAAATGGGAGGTAGAGGAATGATTGAGGTCATTTGGGCTACCAATTAGTAAATCTTAAATCAAAAAATTTAGATTTTACATATGGGTATCTTGTGTCCGTTAACTTCTGAAGGCACTGATCTGCTTTTAACAGCAACACCTGGGATTTAAATGTTACTTAAGTGATTTTTCACTATCCTTTAATTATATGAATAATGATAAGATGGATAAGTAAACAAAGGTGATGGGACAAAAATGCCAGTTTTTGTTTGCAAGAGGAAGACGTAAATATATATATATATTTCGCCATCAATAAGTTCTACACATAAAGGAATCAATTTTTGTATGAGAGGCAGTAAAATTAAGACAGAATTTTTAAATGCAGAGAAGGGAAGGAAGTACCTTAACGTTTAAAGTCTACCACAAAACCAGTCCTTTGGAGGAAAAAGGCCCTCTCAGTGCTGTCCAAGGTTCTGATAATTTCAGCTCCAGTGGCCTGAATATGGAAAATCAATTAAAAACCTTTTTTAAAGTTCAGATTTTTTCCCTTGTATTTATATGATAGAATATCTGTTTTCTTCTTCCCTGCACATTTTAATATATTTATTTGGATTTTTCAGGTCAAATGTTATCTAGATAGTATTTTACAATATAAATTTGATTTACCATCTACAGTATATTTGAATTTTAAAGGAAAGCTTTTTCTGTAAATGTAGTGGTTACAGTGTTAACTCATCCGTCAGACTTTCCTCATCACAACCAAAGACAATTATGTCAATGGAAGTGACTTTCTGAAGGTCTTGATAGTTGTTTATTCCTGCTTAAATTGCAGCCTTAAATTAGGAACATTAAGTTAAATGGTTCTTCTTGTTTAAACAACATAATGTACATTCTTCATCTATATATGAAACTGCGTTATGCTTCTTTTACTTCAGTTAGGCGAGCGCTTGCGTGTTTTACAGCCTGGATCTAGTTTTCACCGCCGCTGTGTATAAGCATGGTGGTTGAGAGCATAAACTGAGTGAGGGCCTGGGCCCCAGGCCCCTTCTGCGGCTGCGCAACTGCGGGCAGATTCTGTCATCACTAACGTGGGGCTTGTCACACCAGCAGCGTCCAGGAGTGTGTAGGAGGATGAACCTAAACGAGGGTGGAGTGCTCGGGGTGGTGCCTGGCTCGTGGGGAACACTCGCTGATGCTGGCTGTGTTCTTGCTGCAGCGACACGCACTTCTAAGCCTCTGACACCTTCATCGTGAGCCCAGCTGACGGACGTGCGTGGGAACTGCGCCCAGTCTCTTGCTCCCCGTCTCGCCACAGTGCTGGGCATACAGTAGGTGCTCACTTAGTGTGTTTTGTGTCTTTAACAGATACCTGTATGATGCTTTCTGTGTACCACACGACGTTCTAAGCACCTTAAAAATATTCATCACTTTATCCTCATCGTAATTATACAGTCTGTTCCAGTATTAATCCCATTATATGAATGAGGAAGTTGAGTTGCAGAGGTTAATGCCTGGGGTCACACAGCAGTAAATGCTTAATGATTAATTGCTGTGGTTAATTAGAAGGGAATGAATGAGGGAAAAAATATGGCTTCCTTCCCCAGAAGCATAGAGAGTAAATGTAGCAGAAATGCCTAAACTGTGGCTGTAGACGGGGGAGGGCCAGGGGAGCTTCATGGGTAGAGCACGGGCTTTGCAGTTAGAACAATCCAAGCTCAAATCTCACCTCCACTTCTTGCTAGCTGTGTGGCCTTGAGCAGGTCGCTTAGCCACTCTGAGCCTAAGTTTCCTCCTTGAGCAGTGTGCCAGGCAGGTCCTGGGGATACAGCAGTAAACAAGACACAGTCCGTGCCCTTGTGAAGCTTACCTTCTGATGAAAATGACAGAGTTAACAAGCAAGCAGATAAAAACAAGAGCGTCACGTATTGTAGTAAATGCCATAAAGAAAATAAGTAAGGTGAGGCTGTAGGTTTAGTTTTGACCTTCAGGTGACCAAGAAGGCAACAGCAAGAGAAAATTCACTCAGACAGATGATTCTTTTCTTTCCTTTAAGTAAGCTAAGTAGTCATTGTGAGCAACAGAGGGGAGGGGCTGTGTTTCCAGGGACTGTTCTGTCAGTTTCCCTCCCTCCCTCTCCGTGCCTCGCTGTCCCTCGCTCCCAGCCAGCCGTCTAGAGACCACCTGTGGATGTTCCTGCCCTGATCTGCACAGCGGTTGGAGCCATCATAAGGTCAGCACGCAGTGGTCTGTCCTCTTAGTGAGTGGTGAAATAAGACAAAAATAATCAGGAAGGATAGTAAGCATTTGATCAGTGCTGTTGGCACGTAGACATGTAGAGCAACACACCCAACAACTGCAGAATACACATTCTTTTAAAGTGTATATGGAACCACTTACCAAAATCGGTCCTTTTGCCGTGCCATGAGACGAATCTCACCAAATTTCGAAGGACTGAAATCACACATGGTATATTCTGACCCCAGTACAACTAAGCTACATATCAATACCAGGAAGGTAACTCGAAAATCCCCACAATTTTAGAGATTAAATAACATTTCTCAAATACCTAAGGGTCAGATGAAGAAACGGAAATTAAGAAATACTTTTAACTGGGTGTTAATGAAAATGCTACATGTCAAAGATTGCGGGCTGCAGCTAAAGCTTTTCCTAGATGGAGATTTATTACCTTAAATGCATATGTGAGAAGAGAAGGCAGAAAACCAGTAGCCTAGGCACTATCTTAAATAGTTATGAAAAACACTTAAAACCACAGTTGAAGGTTTTTAAAAAGAACTTAAAACCACAGTTAAAAGAATAAATACGAGATCAGAAAATAATTAAACAGGAAATAACCACAATAGTAATATTAAAACACACACACACACACACACACACACACACACAGAAGATAAAGCCCAAAATTGGTTCTTTGAAAAAATACATTAGACTGAGAAAACTGTGGTGAGACCAATAAAGAAAAAAGAGCACCTAGAAAATCATTATCACTACAGATCTCGTGGACATTAGAAGTCCATAAAAGAATACTGTGAA